GGTCCCTGTGCTCTGCTAAGCTTGTTCTAAGTAGGTGCTTTAGACCACTGAGCCATCTCACCAGCCCCGAAAATTACTAGTTTTGACAAATGTTACAGGTTTTCTATTTGGAAAAGGACCTTTAATATGAATAATGGAAAATTATATTATCTATGATTATCAGTAAATGATATGAATTCTCCTTATTCATCCTATTTTAAGTTCTAATAATGGTGGGAAACTATGTTGACTTTTAAGTTCATTTTGCATAAGTAACTTCCCTGTGACAAATGCAGAACTACTCTTGGACTAACTAGCAGAGACTTCTATAGGAAGCAACTGCTATTGGTCTAAAATTAGAGTTTACTTGGATGGCCTGTCTGTCTTAGGTATTAGGGTACGACAAAGCTGCATCTATGAAAAGACACAACCATTAATACAACTTAACACACTGGTGCTACATACTTTTAGCATAATAAAGATATAGCCTTTTTTTTTTTGTGGAACTGGGGATTGAACGCAGGCCCTTGTGCTTGGCAGGCAAGCGCTTATTCTATTGAGCCATCTCCTCAGCCCCAAGATAGAGCCTTTTACATGTTCTGCGCATACAGTAGACCTAGAGTCACATTAGGGTAAGGCAACACTGCAGTATGAAGACTCTGGAATTGACTATCTGGGTTAAATTTGTTTTTGCACCATTTTGAATTGTGTACATGTAAGATAGTTATATAATTATTTGTGCCTAAGTGCCCCATCCATAAACCATGAAGTGAGTTGATTTGATTAGAGAAGTACATGAATTTCCATTTGTGCCACCCACCAATTTGCAATTTGTGGAAAATAGAACATTTATTGAATTTGTAACTACTTATACATGCTTCTTTCACAAAAAGACAAATATTCCAAATCCCTATCTAAAAATCTATTAAAGAAATAGTTTGACATTCAATATCATATGTAATTACAATACTTTCATCTAAAAATTCACAATTTAGGGCTGGCATGATAGCTCAGTGGAAGGACCAGGGTTGGGTTTCTGGCTCCACATTGGCTCTGCCCTCAGATGCTCTGAGCCGGTGACCCAGTCTGGGTGTGGTGGCACATGCCTGTAATCCCAGTTCTGGGGAGGTTGAAAACTGGAAGATCACACTACACATCTGAGCTAAGTAGTGAGACCCTGTACAAAAAACAATAAATAGATAAAAATAAAAAATAAAAATATACTATTATTTAGTGAAAACAGCAGGGTTTGCTTGGTAAAGAAAATAATTAAAAGCATATATATATTTTTATTTTAAAACTTTTTTAGTGGTTTATATTTTATAATACAAATAATATAGTAGCAGAGTGCATGTTCATATAATTATGAAGGAGTATACATAGTCATTGAGAGTTTCTCTCCAAAATACTTTTACTGATGAAGGGTTTCACATTCAAACTTTTTAGAGATCACACTGGACTAGAGATGCTTGTGATCACCAAGAAGCTAAATGAGTGACATAAAACATCTTAATTCTCTTAGCTCCATTTATATTGTTATATAGCAATGGATGTAGTCTTATCTCTTGACAGCTAGTCTATGTAGGTCTTAGGGGAATGCGGGCTGTTAAGAAACATACTCAGACTTGCCATGATGTCACACATTTTCACCAGCAGTTTGCTGTAGTGGATTTGTTTGCTTTTCCTTTAAAACATCCCTCCTAATTAATTTCACCTATTTACAAATTCACATGTATGCATGTTGATCCATTCAAATTGCTTTACTTTTATTTTGTTCCCTCTCTACTAGTTGTAATTATTTGTAAAACTACATTTGCATAAGTATATAAAAACTTAATTTGATAAGGCAGTAGACTATACCAGGCCTTTTTGCATCAATGTAATTACCTATTTAAATTAAACTTTATGGGTATAGTCTAGGACTGGTATGTAGAAGTTAGTGTTACACGTTTGAAGTCATTGCTATAACACCAAAGAAATCCCAAATTTATTCATTTTAATAGTATAAAAATATACAAGTAAATCATCACAGGGGAAAGAAATGAGAAATCTCACTAAGTTGAGATTTATATAGTATCATGTAATTATTAATGTTTTGTTTTAACAGATTTTGAAGAATATAATTTCTTTTTTTTTAAT